TTACATAAATCAAGATCATTCCCAGTTTGGAATTTGCATTTGGATTTTCCCTTTTCATTCCCAGTTGGAACTTTTTGTTTCCTAAGGAAAGTAAAACAATCCCATGCACATAGTGTCATGTAAGCAATGGAGTGCTCCCGTGCTGTGTTAATATGATCCAGACAGTTGTATGTTTGGTTTTGCATCTATACTCACCTCTTCCTCTCCCTTTCTTCCTTGTTTCTTCCCAACTCTGCCGTTATATAGGCTCTTAGATATAATAATAATAATTCTTCATTTCATATAGCGGCTTTCATGTTGGGAGGACATCCCAAAGCACTTCAGATATACAGTAAAGTGGAGTGACTGTGTATTTTGTGGGCAAATGCCATGGGGCCTTTAACATCCACGTGAACAGGCAGAGCAGACCTGAAGGACAGCACCTATGAGAATGCAGTACACCCCCAGCACTGCATTGGAGTGTCAGCTTACAGCTTATGGGTTCAAGGCCTGACATGGTGATTGAACCCACAATCTGCTAACTCAAAGGCGAGAGTGCCGCAAACTGAGCCAGGCTACATTATCTTATGTGAAGTAAAGCATATAAATGCAAGTTGTTATTGTTGATGATTGATTGATTTATATTACATTTGCCTTCATTTTAAAATAATGTAAGTGGCAAAATGGTGTTCAAATCCTCAGGGATGCAACTCTGTTTTTTGCTGAACTCAAAAGGAGCAACGTTTCACTGCTGCTGACTCCTTGAAAGTTTGACGCCCTGGAGGTTTCTTTATTTAGCTTATTGGGATCAGGTTACTGCTCAGCTGTGGTGTGCGAGACAAGCCTCAGACAAATGTTATTTGGAGAGTTGGTGGCTGTTTTTCACAGCTGTCAGTTGTTCTTTTTCGTTCCCCGCCCAAACCCCTCTGTGCATCTATTGGTCTAGCGCCTGAATACACCAGGATTATTCTACATTAATTCTCCACTTAAAAGGCCACAATCACAGAGAGAAATTTCATCTGAGTCCAGAAATTCTATGTTCTTAGCGATTTTCTTAGCATCCAGAATTCCCAAATTCAGTCTTAATTTTGAACCTGTTTTTCTGTAGTTCTCAAAAGAATCGATAAAAATCTGCTTCAGAATGAAGGCTCCAGTTAAGAATTTGTCAAATTCCGCACACTGAATTGTTAACAGAATAATGTAAGTATAGATGCAGAAATTTTCTCCCTCCATCAGAGTTTGAAGTGGAAAATAATAATAATCCTTGCATTTGATATAGTACTTCCCGACATTTGATATAGACTTCCCGACATCTCAAAGCCCTTCACAGAATATAGTGTAAAGTGAATTGACTGTATACTTTGTGGGCAAAACAATAGTGTACTAGGCACAGTGACAGTGTGTGCACTGGGTGCAGATTTCTTGATGCATGGAAATTGGCTAAGTTAAAGCAGTTTAATAAATATGACAGGGTATTCTACAATCATTGGTAGATAACAGGGATTGGTGGGTGACAGCCATTGCTGGGTGAGAGCAATGTACTCACCACTGGCCTGGAAACATGCAGTTTCAATTTAGAAGTTGATTTTCCATTATAACCTCACACTTTCAAAGTCTGGATTTACCAATGACTGAAAGTTACACTTCCTGCCAGGTGTCTAACTGTAAGAGCATCAGAGGAAGAAAATACCATCAAACTCTTCCAGACCATTGCTAACACTTGTCTAGACTGTTTATATTTTGTTTCCCCTCTGACAAGCTCAGAAGTGAAAGTAATACTTGATTATTTTCCTTGATTTAGATATAACTCAATTACCACAATTTTAAACACAAAGTAAAATGTGTGCAGATGTTAGAACAGAACATCTCACATCCATTATGCTTTTAAAGCCTGGAGTTGGACTTTTTTCTATTACTGCCTCTCCAATAACAATAATACATCAGATCTTAGACTTACCTAGAACAGACATAGTGGACCTTAGATAATAATATTATTAATAATAGTAATATCTAGTCCGGTGTTATATTGTTGGATTCTCACAATAAACTATTTTCTGTTCACGGAATTCAAACAATCTGACAGATGGAGTCAGGGATATCTTAATTCTCCGCTAAATCTTAATTAAGATATTCCTGATTCTGTTTAAGTGGAGAATTAAGTGCTGACCACTGAAATCCATCAAGAAAGATGAGGCTGCTCAGTGTGGCATTGGTGTGCACAAGGAGAGTTGGGAGTAGGGAGATTACATGCAACCTGCAGAAATTTTTGGTCCAAGGGATTTTTTTTATTTTAGGTTTTGTGCCTAGTCTGGCTAGGTTGGAATTCCAGATACTCAAGAGTCCAGTAAGACGGGTTTCCCTGTAATCCTTACATTTGGTATAGTATTGCCTTTCACATCAGGAGGACATTGGAAAGCACTTCACAGGATGTACTGTAAAGTGGAGCAAATGTGTGTTTTGTGGCCAAACGTGGCAGCTAATTTGTGAACAACAATATCCCACAAATAGCCAGGAAGTGAATAACCACTCTTATTTTGGAGGGTTGTCAGCCAGGACACTTTACAAATAGTGTCATGGGATCCACCTGAACAGGCAGATGGGGTCTTGTTTTAATGGACGGCACCTCCAATAACGCAGCACACCCCAGCACTGTGCTGGAGTGTTGGTTTAGGTTATACAAGTTCCAAGTCCCAATTTAGGGCTTAAACCCACAATTTTCTTACTCAGAAGTGAGAATGTGATCCACTGAGCCAGGGTGATGCACTGAGCACATGAAAGATGAAAAGGCAGAGAAACAGAAAAGCTTCAATGCTTACATGAGTTAATTCCAGCATGAGTCAATTCTGTTTCTGTGCAACATATGAATCACTTCAAAAAGAGGCACCATGATCTTAAATCTATTTTATATGATGCCTCTTTTGAAGTGGTTCAAATGCAGCACGGAAACAGAATTAAGAATTCTGATTGTTTAGAACCATAGAAATTCACAGCAAAAAAAGGCCATTCAGCCCACCGTGACTGTGCTGGCATTTTGAAAGAGCTATTCATTATTAGTGATAAACAAAACATAGGGTGAGATGACAGAGAGGTACAAACTAACACTGTATTGCAATGTGTACGGCAATGTTGTGCAACTATTCCAGTGATAATTTTTATATTCAAGAATAATCTTATGTAATCGGTTTAATTTCAGTTTGACTCTTACCATCTGTTCCCTGTTGAAGAAATCACAAACTGACCATTAGACAAGATAAAACCCAATGCATCTGAATGCTAATCCAAAACCAAACAGTAAATGAGTTATTAATCGTTAATCTGTTTTATTCTTGTTTACGAAAGTTACTCCTTCCCTCCTTATTTACCTTAATCTCCTAAAAACGTTTGACTGTGACTTCAATCACCTGGAAATTGTCCCATTTCTTAAATGCCCTTTTAATTTAACTAAGTGACAATATGAATTAACATTATATTTAATTGTGTATTGCTACACCTCTGTTGTGCAACTATTAAAATTTATTATTTTTAAAAATGTGGTCACTCAACCGACGACTGTTTGTAGGACACAGATGTGTGCAATTGGCTGCTACGTTTTGCCCATAAAATATACAGTCAATTCACTTTACAGTACATTCTGTGAAGCGCTTTGAGACAGCTCGAAGATGTGATAAGGTTGTATATAAAATGCAAGGCTTATTATTATTATTACTGTGCACGGACACATATATCAGTGGTAGTCAATAACAGTCACTTGCAGAGTTTTAATTTTGGAATTGAATCCTTAAGTAAATTTTCTTCTAAAACAAAAATAATACAGATAAATTATGAATTATTTAAAGTACTCGCAAGGGTAAAATTAAAGAGCTGCAATTGTTCAAAGGTTAAGTTAAAGGCATTATAAAATATAGTTTGTGAAAGACAGAGGGAAAAAATTAATTTGAAAAGCACGTAGGTAAAATCCTCAGTGGTGAAACCATCCTGCACATTGTTAAGATAATGAAAGGGGTGTAGCTTTTAGAGAGCCCTACCATCATCCTTCCCACATCCTGTTTGAAATTGTAATTACAAGATGACAAACTAAAACATACAAACTGCAGCTTGTATATTACAAAACACAACTTGTACACATTGGTATGGAGGCAAAATGTTGAAATTTAAAAGCAATCAGTGCTGAAAAGGTGTCTTTTGATTACATTTACGCTTCTATTTTTGTGACGAAACAGGCAGTCAATGGAAAATGTTTTATTCAGATCCAAATCCTCATTTACTCTGTGCGATCAAGTTATGTTTATTATTTATATTAAATGTTTTGAGCACGCGTATGATCAAACATATGATCATTTCATGACCAAGGTTACATCTGTACATGTCTCAGTCTTATTCTGAGATTGAGAGATCAACATCACATATTCTTTTTTGTTTTACTCAATAATTCCTCTCAGTGTGCTCCATTCTTACTAAACCACCATCTCGCAGAAATTCACTGCAAAGTGCATGGTTCGGATCTACACGACTGATGGCAGCATAAGGAATAAAGTGCATTAAAGTTTTTAAAATGTTTTAGAGAAGAAAAGTTTAATTTATTAAATAAGCACAATCCACACGATAAAGACTCATGTCTAAGGTGATGTATATAAACCACAGTTTATATATCAGTGTTAACCTCAAAATGGCATCTTCTAAACAATGCTAAAAATATAATTAAAACATCCACTGGTCTTCCTTCAACTCTCCTGTTGAATTGGTTGATTTAGAACTGCTGGATGGAGCTAGGGAATTCCAACCACAAAAAACATGTGATGTGTTGCTCTTTGTCCTCCTGTTATGCTTTAGGAATACACAACTGGCTGGTATAACTATTGCAAATTAGATATCTTTCGATATTGTCATTAGAGTTGTAATTAGTGCTTATGAAGTTCTAGAATTTCAATATCATATTTCCAACTCAATATGAAATAAACTGCTTAATCCACATCTTCATCTAGTAATTATATTAAACAAAGCTTTAAACTTTTATTTTTCAGGCCATGAAACCCTTGATTGTACTCTGGATGTGGCTTATTTGAAGCAGACGATCAATTTAAATGTTGGACAACATCTAATGCTGAATTGCACAGTAGATTTTTGTTCTACGAATGGACAACTGTCGACAGTATATTGGTGTAAATTTTCTGGGATCAAATGTAACCAGTTGAATACACATATTCACAATGGAGGTGCGAAATTTCAGAACAAAACAAGAATGCTTGTGATTTATGAAGTTTCTTCTGTTAACCTCAATGATAGTGGTACATTCCAATGTCAAGCTCATCAAGGAGTCGAATTATCAATAGGTCATTCCATCACTGTGCATGTGCGAGGTAATTAATGATATTTATTATCAAATGTTTGCAGCCAAATCTTTCTTTTATTCCAAGGTCGCCCTGAAGTAAAAAGACAACATTGATTTATTTTCTCCAACTACCTGCTCCAACCTTGATCCTCCTTGATGGGGGGGAAGTGATAAGCGAGGTCTAATTGGAGCTGAACAAGCTCAAGGTGACACAGTTAGTAACTGAGTACTGGAATGGAGTCAACACCCTGTAACAGTCTTTGCAGTCTGTTTCCTGAGCCAGGTGGGTCTGCAATACTCCAGTGCACTGCTGATGACATGCCAGTCAGCCTGACCATTTACTATTTACTGGGGGTCAGGGAATCTTCCTACTCAACTCATATTAACCCTGCAAGCCAAAGCCCTAATGGTTAGGGTGGCCCTAGCTGGGCAAGCAGCGGGAAGTTTGCCAGATAATGCTTTCAATGGCAAGCTATACTTTTGCAGGTTAAACTCCAGCAGTAGCCCAACACACACCTTGGGGTCCCCAAACCTTGGCTCTTGCCAATCTATGCCTATTACTCTTCAGAATAAGGCAAGCAGGGTGCATTCTTCTGAAGAGACAGAGAGAGTGTGTATTCCATTCCACACACAGGACTCTCCATGTGTAGTTGGCATGCATGGAATTCTCAGTTTGGTTTGGATACTCATAAACATGATGATGGGCTTCAGTCAATGTCAGACACCAGGCTGACCAAAAAGAATACTTCAACCTCTGCATCCCCACCTCTTATACAAAGTGTGAGGAGCTAAAATACTTTTTTCCCCAAAATCAAGGTCTCTCAATCTTTGTCCTACCCTCTTACTACTACTCACCTCTCCAAGAGTCGTTCATCCCTAGCTTTCCTCTCCTGCCATTTCAATACATACCCCATATGTGCTTGCCAGCTGTCTGCACCTGTTCCCTGTTATAGAATCATATCACAGGAGGCCATTTAGCAAATTGTATCTGTTCTGGTGCTAGTGTTTCCAATGGACCTAGCTACTCCATTTCCATTCACCTCTTCTTTGGCCATAACAATAATGACCAACTGCATCTATATGTTGCCTTTCACATCAGAAGGACAGCTCAAAAGCACTTAATATTGTTGAATATTGTTTTTCAATATTTATCAAATTCTTTTTTAATTTATAATAATAATAATCATGGATTGATTAGTGACCAATTTATTATTGTTTTTTTCTTGAGGGATTATTATCAGACATGTGGAGTAAGGAAGCTTGCCCAAGGTTTCGCCCTGCTGGGAATCAAACCCAGGACTCTCGCTTGCGAAGCGAGTACTCTAATCACTGAGCTACAGCACTCCACAGATTGTGTTATTGACTCACCATCAATAGCCATTTGTGATATGGATTTCCACATTCTATCAAACCTTCAGGGGGAAAAAATCTTCTTCTTTCTTTCTTTTAGTGTTAATTCTGATTAGTGTTGGCTCACTAATCAGCAGAAAAGTATATTTCTATTTACCTGATCAAAAGCTTTGTTCGTTTGAAAACGTCATCAAATCCCCACGTACCATCCTCTGTTCCTTCAGTAACAGTCCCATCGCCTGTATAGGGGGAGTATCATCCTGGCTCAGTTGGTTGCATTCCCCTTTGAGTAAGAAGTTTGTGGGTTCAAGCCCCCAGTTGAGATTGAACTAATTCTAGGCTGATACCATAATATAGGCGAGGTGTTAACCTGAGGTCCCCGTCTGCCTGTTCAGGTGGTGATTAAGAATCCCTTAGCACTATTCGAAAAGTGAAAGGAGTTTCTCCTGGTATTCTAGCCAACAATTGCCCAGATAAAATTTACTTCATGACTGTTTGCAGGATATTGTGACGCAAAAATTGGCTGCAGTGTCACCTACAAAGAGCAATCACAATACAGTAAATCTTGAGAAGCGCTTGACATGTCTTTCTGATGTAACAGGTGCTGTAGCCAATGCAAGTATTATTACATCTTTTCAAGAAACATTCTCTTCTCAATGGTCCACTTTGGTGGGATCATTCTCTCATATTTCTTCTCTTCCCTCAACCATCCCCAACACTACATCCCCTGGAAAATGGAGCACTTCAATCAAGGCTCCCTTGTTTTAAAATTGCTAAGCCAAAGCAGTCTTGTTGCAAAGTTTATATATGTTTAAAACAGTTCATCATCAATTTTTCCCATTATAGAATTCCCTAACACAAAAATCTTTACGTTTGATGATTGTGATTTTAATTTTAAGACTTTTTTCTTCTTCAATTCTCTTCATCTCTCCTCCCCTGAAAGTAATGACTCACAGAACATAATTCCAGAGGCACAGGCCATCCCTTCGATGTGTGAGCACAGATAGCAAGTGCCAGCAGGGTATACGCCTGCAGGGTGGTGGCACACCAGAACCCGGTCCGGTCCTCATCAATTAAAACAATACCAGTTCCACATACAGAGGCATCAATCTTACTATCCTCCCAACCCCTCTGTTCCCCATTTTGTTACTGGCTGGTAAAAAAAAAACACACAATCTATAAATTACCCTTCGAAAACAAGTAAAATAAAACATTCTCCCGGTTACTAGGGAGGGAAATCAGCCTTACATTACAATATTTTACTCCTTCCTCCCCCCTCTAAAGGGGCAGCAAATAATCTTCCAATTAGCACTTAGTACCAGAAGGATACCAACCCATCCACCTTCTTCAGAAGGCTGCCAGCAAGGAGAGGAAATGAAAGACTTCTCTTCACTGGAAGGGAAACAATGTTCCCCCTCCTCCACCAACACCCACAAACTGGGATATTTCAGAACGGATACCTTAATAAATACAAAAACAGAGAGAGCTGGGAAAATTCAGCAGGTCAGGCAGCATATATAGAGAAAGGAAAGTGAGTCCACGAAGGGTTGTGGACCCGAAACATTAACTCACTTTCCTTTCTCTATAGATGCTGCCTGACCTGCTGAGTTTTCCCAGCTCTCTCTGTTTTTGTTTCAGATTCCAGCATCTACAGTATTTTGCGTTTTGTACCTTAACAAATAGTCTCTTTGGTGACCAGGAGTACATCATCCTGAATGACCCCACAGGAACTCCACTGCAATGCAATTTCCCTGAGGAGGAACATCCCCATGGAATTTCAACAAGATTCTTCATTAAGGAATCCCGATAAATAACAATGCAAGTTAGACTCCCTGGTGGGGAGAGGTGTTTAGGTTGCAAGTTTGTTGTCATGTATATTTCTGAGTATATTCTTGTTCATGTTTTCTCCTCTCTGCCTCCTATTGTTGCATCAGATTGGGGTCAAATTCCAAGTGGAGGATGTCACAATTGCGGATTATTCCGATGCTGAACACAAAGTGTTGAAGTGACTGTGGGCGAGGGGTCAGGTTCATTCACATGTTAGATACAGATTCGCCAGCAAACCGACTAAAACTTATGGCCACGAATGCCAACCTGAAAACCCTCAGCTCATTTTTTCAGCTCATTTACATTTGTTAAATTGTAAGATTTTGCCCATGTTTCTTAACAGGTGAACAGTCACCCTGTGAAATGAGCTCCAGCCTACACCTTTGATTTATTTACAATTGGTGGGGAAGGGGTGGGAGAAAGGCATTGCTGCTGGTTTACGCTGGGTGTGCTGCATGGGCAAACCTCCACTTGTCTGGTTTCTGTCCATGATTATTGTCAACATTTAGTCACTTTCTTTCTGCATTTACCCATTTTAGAGAATCCAACAGAGGCACCTCATGCAATCAATATAACTGGTGAGTTCTTTATTTGTTGCTATACCTTTAGTCAATTAAATTAATATCAACATTGTTGGCATTAACTGATTCCCTTCCCATTGCTTTTTCTTACTAAATTAGTACAATTCTCAACTGATCTATTGTAAGGAGTATATAAGTCATGGAATCACCTTCTAATTTTTTTCTACAACACTCAAAGTTTATATACTGTACTACACTTCACATAGTAATGTCTCTGATCGCCTTTTAGAGACAATCAATCATGTATCATTCATTAAGTGGCCAAGAGTGTCACTTATAGGGATGGCATGTGGGTCTCAAGCTACACTAAAGTAATTTATCCACCATTTATCCAATCACCTCATTTTTTTAAAATAAGAATTTGGTCACTAAATCCATGACTGAGTGAACATGCTGTGTGCAAATAATATTACAAATATCTTGCTATCAGTTTTATGGGAAAAATCTTGTTGCTTTCTCTACTGTCTTAACAATAACGCAGTCCCAGTAATCACTAGGGTGAATGTACCTTTAGAAGAATATTGAGACTGATAATTGCATTTTATTATTTTTATTTTTGATGGCACACCAATAGCACATGAAATACAGTTACATCCCAGTGTATCCTAGATCTTCATTACAGTGTATTTGTGGTCTGTTTGTAAGTACAAGTAATTGCCTCTAATCTCCACAAACAAAATGCTTCAACTACGAACCTCAGAAGAACACACCCTATTAAAACAGTGTGTGATATTTTCTATTTCCCATACCATCCATCATTGCTGTGAGCACAATTGCAATTTAGTCCTCCATTAACTACAACAGTCACTAAATTGCAATAGGTTAAAAATTAATTTCAAATGTGTATTTTATAGCCACAGGTGAAAGAGGCTTTCTTCCCATTGACATGGGCTGAATTCTAACAGAATACTAGACTCAAAGCTAGCATGAGTCTAGTGTATATTCAGTTACTCTTTACTCTCTCTTTGCTTGTCTCCTCAACATTTTCTTTCCCTAAATTTTCTTTTCTGGTTATAGTTCCCTGCGATTTTGTGTTTCTTTTCTTGCTCTCTCTTTGTGTTTCCCTTCTTTGCTTCTCACATTCTTAGTTTCTCTTTTTCCTTAAGTAAGCAGAAAAACAAACCAGGGAACAAGGGAAGGCTATCAAGCTGGCTCCTTGCACAGTTTAATGTAGTCTATCTATTGTACAATGCCCAAAGCACACACAATGTGGCAAATCTGCTTCACTTCATTTAAGGTTTAGAAAAAAATGTAGTCTGGGGCACAGGAGATTGAGTGATATTTAAAATTTTGAAGGGCCATACTTTCCAGCATAAGACAGCTATCAATTCAGGAGAGTTGAAAACTAAGTTGAAAGATGACTTTACAATGTAGGTAACTTATAAAGTGGGCCAACGATGCCTTAAAAGAATGCAATGGAATAAAACAAATTGTTCTATGTATGTTGCTATATTGCTTATTTTGTTTTGTTTACAGCTGCTGTGACAAACAACACAATGAGTACTACACAAGCTTCCATGCAGACCCCTAGTTGGATTTTGTATTGTCTCATTGGTTTGGGAGTTGTGGCTGCAATAATATTTATTGTAATGATAACATATTTTTGCCTCAGAAATATTGAAGGTAAGAATGTATCAGGTGAATTAATCAATATTTTCATTCAACAATTACCCCATTTAAGAAAATAATTAGCTCTTGCTTTGATATGTAACTTATTTTTTTACTTTTCTAGATCCCCTTGAATCAAAAGAAGACAGGAAAAAAAGCAAGCACAGTGTAAGCCTAACCTTTATAACATCTAATGACTTCAGAGAGAAAGCAGAGATTTGAAATTTAAATTATCAATTTTCTTCATTATTGTATTATCTCTGAACAGCATTGAACTAAGCCCATTTATAAAAGAAGGGATTTATAAGGATATTGTCCTTTAAGACACTTTGAAATTATCTTGCCCTTTCATATAACAACAGCTTGGATTTATATAGCGCCCTCCACACTGGACGGCATCTTAGAGCGCTTCACAGTGATGGATCCCGGGGCCGAGCCAGGGGGAGGGAAGGAAGGTGACCAAAGGCGCGATCGAAAAATTGGAAGAGAGGGGGCGAGGTGAAGTGAATGAGGAAGGGAGTTCCAGAGTTCCATATGATATTTTTCCCTTTCTGCATTTCACAAAAAGTTAGAGAAACTTAAAACTGTATCTTAAGAATTTGCCAAATTCTGATGCTCTGAAATGCTGCATTAATAAAGTACATCTAGACTCAGGAGGAATTTCATTCCCACATCTCGATTCCTCTGTGTGAAGAGGTAACCATTGGTGTATTCACCTGATGACAAAAACCTATACAAATTCTTCTTGTAGGGAGAGTTTATAAACCAAGAATCTAGAAGTCTTTACAAATAAAACAAAATGAAAGGTTGCTTAATGCTTCAGGTTTAACCCTTCACATTGTTTCCATCAGCTGCTGGTTGGCATCCTGTTTTCCAGTATTTCCTGTTTTTATTTCTGATTTCCTGCATTTGCAGTTTTCTTTCTTTCTCTCATATATCAATATAAAATTCCCACCAACCCCCATTCCCCATTAATTTAATCTGTGTCTCTATCTGAAAGTTCAAGTGAACGCAAACCCAGAGAAACACTGCTGATAGATGACCTCCAACGTGACCCTTTCTGCCACAACGTCTTCCAGTATAAACCAACCACAGCCATAGTTTAGTCTGTATCCTCCCCGCCATAGTGTATTCCTGTAGTGCCCAACCACAGACACCCTTTCTGCCACAGCATATTACCGAACCACATCGCTGTACTTTCCAAATACACCCCCGATGTATGTGTCATAGGATTCTTATAATGTATAGTTGCATTAAAGCAGGTTGTAGCTTAATAGATAGATTATTCTACCTTCCTGGGCTAGAAAAAAATGAATGAAAGGCAACACTGAGAATGTCCCCTCTTTTTTAAGATATAGAAGTTGTGATGTTTTCTACATTTTTCCTTCAAACCAGTCAGCTTTTATTTTGACTTCCTCAAAAGCAGTCTGATAAACGCAAACAGGAGATGACAAAAATACTTGAAGTACAGCCATCCTAAATTTTAAAAAATCTACAATAGTTGAAGTTCTGATTTAAACCCACACAAATGTTTCTGCTCTGAATCTGATTTGATTAGGATTGATTTTAAATGAGCATCGGTGAAAGATAAAAATAAAATAATAATATAATCATAATAATCGCTACATTTAGTATAGTGCCTGTCACTTCAGGAGGCCGTCGAAAATGTATCACAAGATATACCGTAAGGGGGGGGTGACTGTGTATTTGTAGGCAAATGCAGCAGGCCATTTGCACATAACAATGTCCCACAAAGAGCCATAAAATGCAAAGATTTCTATTTCCGCACAGCATTCTTATATTATCAGTTCCCTTTGAGTATGTAGTTATTCAGACAACAACGAGGAGAAAAAGTGAGTCTAAGCACTGGCTTCGGAAAGCAGCCTAAAGTGAAGCCAAGTGCGACCAGGACCTCACAGTGTGTGGCAATGTCATACATGGCCTCTTCTTATCTTAGCTATTAGTATTTTTGTTTATTTTTAATGATAATTTTAACATTTATTTCCAGTTGGACTGCTCCAGAGCTGAGTCAGACTGTGGAAAGTGAGAGACTGAAAGAAACTGTGCATATATCAGGTGGCTTATAATAGATTAGAGTCACTTAGAAAAATGTTATCATTTTATCATAATCCAAAAGTTATTTAGTTACTGCAGCATGGATACCAACTGAATGGGTGACTCAAACACTGATCTTACAGAGCCTGTTAGTTTCTATAAGGGTTGTTTTTTAAAAAAGAAATAATCACATATCACATTAAGTAATAATTGATGGTTTACACTGGGTGTGAGACATTGAGAGAAGATCACTTATTACCTTGTTTGCATTTCTAGTTGTCTGCAAAATAGTTGTTAGGTTTGTTTTAAAATAGCCATGTCAGGAATTTTCATAGAAGGAATATGCAGTGGCAACTGTAATGACATTACCCCATAAAAGATTCAAAAAAGATGTGAAATTCACACAAAATCAACTGGCAATAACTCCACTGAGATTAGAAGGTGTACGAGTAGAAAGGCAGCTTGCTGATAGGAACAAAAGGGATTGAATTTTTTTTTAGATATACCTGATGTAGAGTGACTGTTAAAGGCCAGGCGGGTATTACAGAGAATGTTGCAAAGACAGAGGGTGTTACAGAGAATGTATGTTTCCCATGGTCAAATGAAACTCCAGAGGCAAGAGTGCCATGTTTAGTGAATCAGTTATCCATTTTGGACAGTAGTCAGTAGTTTCCTAGATATGTCTATGCTGTCAGAAATGGGTTCACAAACCAACTATGAAAATATGAATTTTCTTCTCTTCCTATTACTTCACTCACATTGTGGTGTGTGACAAGGCACATGACCAAATACAACACTGACAGGTTCCTGCTCCATTTGGACCTGTTTGAAGTTTCCCTTCAATCCTCACAAATAAGTTTGTTGTTTAATTTCACCCCAATAAGATGAACTCTTCATTGTTTTGTCTCCAGTATAAACAATCATAGCTTTGCAATGTCTCCTCTTAGCTCAGGAACATTAAACCATATATTTAATAATTAGGCCATTTTTATACTTTCCTCAAAGCTAACATGTCCTTTATATCTAGTATAGACACTAGAACATATTCAAAACTCCAAGTACAGTACAAATGCTTTGCATAACCCTACTGTAACGTTCTATGACTTATTCACGCTTCTTATAGCTTTATAACCTAAAATCTTATTTGCCTTTCTTGCTGCTACTATAAACTACTTATAATTTCAAAGAGCTATCTACCCATACCTTCATATCCTTCTTCTTCTGTAAAAGCACATTATACAATATGAGTGATCCCATCTGTTTTAAATCAAGCATTCAATATCTCATAGTATGTTTCTCATTTGTATTGTGTTTGACTATCATAAAATCTGTTCTGCATAAACTAATGTTTTATTTGTTTCATTTTAAGACTGTGGCAGAAGCAAATGGAAACTCTACTATCTATGAAAATGAACTTCCTGAAAGGCCGCGTTTTTCTGATCCAAATTCCATTTTTGCTCCTACCAATAAAAATCATCATACTCACAGTCCTTCTAGACCTTACACAAATCAAGTGTGTTTCATCAACGTACCTGTGGATGACCCGATTATTTATGCCTCATTGAATCAATCTGCTTTATCGAGAAAACGATCAATTATCTTTACTGAAGAGGAAACCACAGAATATGCTGCAATAAATATTAAAGTTTAAAAAGAATGTTAAGAAAAAGGCATCAGGGGATGAGATTATCTTTTGGTGGTGCTTTTAGGTTACCCTTTCTCTGAATCTCAATGCTATTTCAATGGGTTATCTGTTTGCATGCTAACTATTGACATTTCTCATTTGAACAGCAGTGTGGTGCTCAATATATTTAATCAATATGAAAAAAACAGACTATTAGTCCATTAGTGTCTGGTTGTGAGATTGGAATTATCAAATGGCAGACTGAAATTTGAGCATTGCATCATTATCTGCAGTTGCTTGCTTATTGCAATCAACATAGTAAAAGGTGTACATTTTACTTTGGTTACTTGATGCAACAAACAGACCAATCGGTGGAACAAAGGACACTGCATTCAGAGGACTAAGAAAATACATTTTTAGAACTTTCATTCCAGAGATTGTTCATATTTTAATATTTTAAAATAAAAGCTATCAGATCAGCGATGAATATACATGGAGCTTTCCAAAGTCATTCTTAAAATTTGTAACCTGTAATAATCTATTACAAGAAGAATGATTTTCATCTAACAACTGTGCTGAATTTAATTTTTTTAACAAACAGATTAATAACTTAATTGAATCAAATGCTTTAAATGAACAATATTACACAGATTAATATTAGGAGATGAGAATAAATCGTGTGTTAAATATTGGTCATTTTTGCATTTTTGTTTCAAAATTCATTCTAAAAGCTTCAAAACTGTAAGCATTTGCATTGACTAAAGGGAATTTGTTGCTTAAATGAAACCTGTTCCTGCAATACACAGTGTTTGGACACCTCTCTTGTATTTGCCATCATCCTTCAACAACTTTTTTCTGTTTAAATACAAATCTTTAAAGGCAGATGTTTAACTGTACCATGCTGATACTTTAACCATCTTTCAATAGCATTTAAATTTAGTGGAAAGCACATTTACTGCATATGTTCAGAATATGCAGTGTCATAACATTTTGAGTATTGATCACAATTAGTTTATACGGATTCATGTCTGCATGTTGCAGTGGTTAAAAAGTGCAATAATTTAATTTAATCCAATGGACCCAGGGGAAATTAATTAGAGAAAGGAGGAGTGTATCTATAAGAAATTTCACAGGAGCAACCAATGACTGCTTCTTGACACAACTTGCAAAGCAAAGTATTGGCCAGATATTACATGAGATTGTTTTCCTTCTCGTCAATAAACTTACCAATGGGATTTTCCTATTACCAGCTCATGCCACTTAGATAGGTAACTTATCAACAATAAGAAAATCTTCCCCATAGTGTTTAGCAGTCCACCACATCTGATCAGTAACCCAGATACTGCTTCAGTGACCAGTGAATAGTTTATCTCACATACTGTATTAATGGCTAAGAGCAAAAAGAGTAATAGAGATGCATGGTTTGGGGAATTCAAACTTCTGTGAAAATAGCTTTCAGGAAGACTAAGTGATAACACAAAACTCAAAAAGGCAGTTCAGGTTAATTAACTGGAATATTAAATGAAGTTAAGAAAAAAGAGAGAAGCAAATTTTAGACAATTAAAAATTCAGAGACATGGTTTTGGCTATGTTAGCACAGGATGGTGTTTTAATGACCAAATATATTCATTAAGGAATAGAAAACGAATGACAAGTGCATGACAGATGTGTTAAACAGAAGTTTCACAACATTTTTCACAAATAAAAGCTGTGGTCAAATTCCAGATCCTGCTGTTTTGCTTCACAAATATTTAATACAAGTAAAGTATGTCGTCTGTACATAGGCCATAGAATCATAAAAATTTACAGAACAGTTTTCAGGTCAACCAGACCTTAGACGAATGTACTAGTTAGTGCAATAGGAATTAGGCTTTGGTTAATATTGTTTGCATGCCATAAACCCTATGTGAGAACTGGAGGGTAGCATGTCTTTACATACTGTAACAATTGGTGGTAGTGAAAGAGAGCACAGAGTACCACATATTTTCTCCCACTTAAAAATCTTTTACACCTTTGTTCAAGACAAGTGAAACTAGTTAACCTAACAAAACTTGAGAGCAATATGTGGGATATTATTATCAATCTTTATCAGGAGAAACCCAGATCTACAAATCAACTTTGATTTAGAATAAATAATTGCTCATGAATCTACTGAAATTAATTGAGGAAATAGTTAAACTAGTGGATGAGGGAAATCCAGCATACATAATGTACAGGATTTTCAAAAGATATTTGATATTATTCCACAAACAAGGCTTATGATCAACAGTCATGGAGCTAATCGTGAACCAGTTTGGAAATAGAAAGCAGAAAGTAACGATTGAAGCAGATGGGTCAAAGATATAAAAGTAGAATCATCCTACTATTTGTGAAAGGTTTGTGAAAGCAGTCTGGAATATACATTGATCGGTACCATCAGCCAGTGGAATTAACCGTTTTTACTGTATAAGAACCAAATTGTTTTATTTATCAGCATAGTGTTGTGTTCCTAAAATATATCAACTATAGTGAAATGTTATGGTTATTATTGGGAACATAAAGTAAGTCAGCCACTTTCTGATAAGCACTTGGATTTTGGATAGCAGAAACCTATCTTCCCGATTCTTAAATATATATGCGTTTATCACTGTGTTTAATGAAGAACCTATTACCTTTGGCACCTAACTCAAAATATTTAAATAATTATCAATACATTTGTTAAGTGAACAGAAATATTTTGAGATTTTCTATCTACATTGATTATAGCCTTAATTGTTAACTGGATAACGTTAACTATTAGCTCCTGATCAGCACCTTTTTTTTAAGACCAGATTATATAATTTACTTTCAATGACTAAAATGATAATCATCTTTAATATGATTTGTGCACAATTTAAGGCATTTCAATTAGATTAAAATAAATTGTGTTGCAAGTTGAATACTGAATAAGCACAAGCGGTAGGTAACACATGAACTTTAGGCTGCAAATGTGTAGCTTTTCATCACTAGATGATTGGAAAGAGTTTTTACTCCCGTGGAGTTCTGAGATCTGATTAGCAAGAGACTAATATAATAAATAATAATAATCTTTGCATTTAATATAGTGCTTTTTACATCTTCTAGACATCTCAAAGCGCTTCACAGAATATAATAATAAGAAGAATATATTGTAAAGTGAATTGATTGCATATTTGTGGGCAGCCAGTTACACACAGCAGTGTCCCACAAACAGTCGTGGACACTTGCAAGGCGAGTGCTCGAACCACTGAGCGACAGCTGTCATGCAAAATACAACTGAATATCTGCCCACATAAACATACACAATAAACCTGCATACATATTACACTTACTGATATGATTCAAAATCTAACAAAATCACTGTATCAAAAGTTTCCTTTATTTGGAAAATTAATCCTCATAATTCGTAATTTACAATCATAGGGTCTTAGAGCACTGTATGCACTTAACAACCAGTGAAAAGGATTAAATATCAAAAACTTGCATTTGATAAGGTATTGATAATGTGAAACCTCTCAAGGCGCTTCACAATAAAATCTGTAATTATGTCATTAGTAACACATTCAAATGGTGCTTTGCATTTACATATAGTTTGCTCAACTTGCATAATAGACCTCCTTATTATCTTAAATCATATTCCATTTTGCTGCTTGCAGTTTGCTCCCGATTGACCATAGTAATTTAAGTTTCAGCATTATCCCGTGAAAATGTGTGCACTGAACAAATGATGGAGTTGGTTTCTTTTGGTTTGGCCATGTCTGGTTTGAAAAGAGAGGTGGTTCTTCAAATAATGTCATAATGTTGTATTTATTAACTACATTTGTAAGCATAATCTTAATTAATAAATGTATTGATTCACCTGTCAACATTAGTTTTAACATAGTTTTACTTTTGTTTAATACATTTGTCTAATTAAAATAATGAAATAATGATAAGGTTCTCTGAATTTATTATTAAATCTAAGTGTTACTGACATTTGGTATTATTTTCCCTGAACATATGAACAGAATAGTACCACTATTCAGGCTACTATTTTCATATAAAAACTAATTGTGACGTGTCTACTGAAGCAAAAGGATTGCTTTATTGTACTGAATAAACCTTCTCTGTTTCCATTTTTTTTTAATGCGGCACAATTGGTGCTAGATGGATGGCCCTGTATCAAATACTTTAACTTTCTAGTATTGAACCAAATGTTGTATTGTGGATTCCTGCAGCTTAGTGGTTAGATCACTCACCTCGCAAGCAAGAGGACTGGGGTTCGATTCCTGGAAAGTTTCCTTACTCCACACACCTCTGTTTACTGAGCAGTAAGTAAGAATCCAGTTGTTAGTCGATTGGCGGATCGTTTTTCCGGGAGTAATAATCCCTTCTTAAAAAAATAATAATTTGGTCACTCAATCCACGATTGTTTGTGGGACTCTGCTGCGTGCAATTGGCTCCTGCGTTTTGCCCACAAAAATACATTCAATTCAAGTTCCAGTATATTCTGTGAAGCTTTTTGAAGACTCAAAATGTGATTAGTCATTATATCAAATCCGAGGATTATTAAAGAATTATCATTATTACCATCATTCATATTACTGAGTATTCATTTTGTGAACACATGTATAAAGATAGTAGGCCTTGTGCCAAATAACACAGTTGTTAGATAACAATTTCCATTGACGTTTTATTTGTTATTGCCCCTAAATGAAAATATATTATAGCTACAAAAACAAAATCCTGATAGTCTCCTACTGAAAGAAAACAGAGTTGAAAATGCATCATTTGAAAACTGGAAGAAGTCACTAATCATGACTTCTGATTTGTGAACGACATTCAAGATTTGCTACCATGATTCCATCCTTTCAGAAATACTAATCCATCGTCCCATTACAGCAACAAGTTGTTTCTTAAATAATTCCAGGGTATCGTACCCTCAAACCAATACCAACTACCTGTAGTTGTTCATGGCTGTTTGTGGGATCTTGGCATACTGGCTGCCATGTTTACTGACAGTAATATTTACCTATTAATAAATATTTGTGAAGAAGTTTAAGATGTTTTATCAAGCTAAGGTATATAAAAATGCATGATCTTTATTCATGACTGAATAACAACTTGCATTTATATAGTGTATTCATGCAGGGTCGTGTCTCTGAGCACTTAAAAGATTTGCACAGAAGTGAAGAGAGCTTGGCAATGGCTTCAAAATAATATACATAGAAGGAATCATCCCTAACAGTAATGTGTTCAAATGCAGCACACTCTTGTTGAACAAAACAAGTTTGATATGGTTAGCCTGTTCTCTCATTCCTCATATAACTACTGATCTTTCAATCAACAGTACTAATGTTTTAACCGACCCTTGTTTTTAATGGGACATTAAATAGTTTTGTCACCTACAGGGTCATTTATGATAAAAAGAGGTAATACAAAAACTTCTGTACCATCTGTATTGGTATGAACATGTGCAACTTGTATCTGAGTTTAGCACACCTCTAGTATATTCAAGGAACAGTGCAGCTGCTGAATGAGACAAGTCATTTTTGCCTACGAATTTCAATTGCTCCATTTCTGCAATATTGTTATTCTTGTCATCCTATCTGTTGCACAATTTTGCAGATAGTTGATAGTAAGTTAACTGTTAATACTTTGCCTTTTTGTTAAGTCCTACTAAGTATTAACTTTTGGAAAAAGCACATTGATGTGTTTCTTTAACACCGTTGTATACAGAGAAGTTGATTTGTTTCAGATTTCTTAAGATAACAAAATTATAGATTTAATGTGAAGATCAGTTATTTGCCAAGCTGCACTGTTGTTTGAGGGCAAATTGCTTTGTGCACTAACACTAATCATGTCACCTTACAGCTCCTGTGGTTATCATTTTTTCATATAAGACGCTTGAGGTTAGGATCACAGTCATTCAAACTGACAGGGCACTGTGCATATTCACTTGCAAACTTTAGCAATGTTATATCAAACATTGTTTTTGGAAAACTGGGTAATATATTTTTTTAAAAAGTGCCCAAAATGAAAGGTATATTAATTTGGTGTGCTTGTTAAATAGTTGTCATTATTATATGGAGATCATTTTAAATTAATAACATTTAAATTGAAAACTTAGAAATACATGTGCAAATTTATCTCAACTTAAATATAGTATTATTTATATTTGTTAGAAATAGTTATGCATGTTGTTGTCCAACTGTGTTTTATTGGGTGAAAATGGTTACAATAAGCAATCCCAGATTCAACCAGTTTTAGTTCAATTGTATTTACTGATTTTAGCCATAAATGCTGCAAAAATTCAGAAAATGCATGTCTCTCACAATGAGTGTCTGCACCAATTTAAACCTTGCAAATTGGGTCTAATGGGTGCGCCGTAATGAATGACATCAAAACTCAGGTACAAAATTAGTCTGAATAACAGAAAATGTGGTCAATTCCAACACTGACAAAGATTTGTAACAACCCTACACATAGGAAGAAAACTGCAGGACAATATAATATTTGGCATGGATATCTATTTACTTACCACTTCAAAGTGCAGAAGTATTTGTTGCACAGATATGAAGATAAACACCACTGATATTGATAGCTGTAAATGATTGAAATAACCATTGCATGGATGAGAATACCAGTTTTACAACAACAAAATATGCTAAAGATAGACAACACTGCTTAAATCTAAATTAACTTGGAGTTTACAATTAATCAACATTATATAAACAATTAGAATTATATAAAAAAGATGTGATAAGTAGATACGTCAAGGCATTACAAGTCATTAGAAAGTAGTGCATTGAACTCTCGATTATCATCAATGACTGCTTTTTTTGTAGCTTATCAATAGCTATAAATCGTGGATGAGCGCTACCTTTCTCCAGCTGAATGTCAATAAGAGGCCGTCCTACTAGACTCCCATCACCGGATTCTCGTTTCAGGCGCTGAAAGCATCAATCTGCATAAATGCACATTCCACCTAATGTAACCTGTGCAGAACCGCAGTGTCTTGTTCAACTCCCAAGTGTCCCTTAAATCCCACATCCATGCTCTGACCCATTCAGCTTTCCCCCTATCTCAATTGTATTGCCCCCCTTTTCCATTACCTCTCCCCTCTGGTTGCCGAAACCGTAACGCAATTATTACGTCCAGGCTGGACTACACCAATGCTCTGTTCGACTACCCGCCCCTCCCTCACCTCTTTTAAGATCCATCCATCTCAAAATCTTCCTCTTTGACTCCGCCTTCAGTCGTCTTTCCCCTCCCAACCCATTGGCTTCCACATCCAGCAATAATAATAATAATAATAATAATAATCCTTGCATTTGATATAGCGCTTTTCACGTCAGGAGGACGTCCCAAAGCGCTTCACAGAACACACTGTAAAGTGAATTGACTGTATATTTGTGGGCGAACGCAATGGTGCCAAGCCAGGACCGTCGACACACCTTGAGCCATCTTCCCAATGTAAAAGGCGTGTAATGTAAAATGTAAATTTGCATT